GGAGTGGGCACCGCAGGCGGCGGGTCAAGGGCGAGGGCAGCCGGCTCCCGGGCTGGGGCGCTGGAGCGGCCTGGGAGCCGGGTCCGCGGGCAAAGCCTGGGTGCGCACCGCCGGCCGGTGGGGAGCGCAGGTGCGATGAATATTTTGCAAACGCTCGGCCCCAGGTGCGGCGGGCAGCACGCAGCCTCCCAATGCGCCATGGTGAGGCCCCAGGTGCCGCTTCGCCGCAGTGGCAGAAGGTCCCTGGCCCGCCCCTGAGGACCCGGCCCTGAAAGAGCTGCCTGGAAAACATGCCCAGTGCGCCACGGAGGTCTGCGACCCACCTTTCATCTGCAGGGCTTTGGATCCAAGAGGAAAATTTGGGTGCAACACAAACCGCCCAAAACGAATTTAAGGCCCTATTAAGCCCGGCCGGTGTGGCTCAGTGGTTGAGGGTCGACCTGTGAACCAGGAGGTCAAGGTTGGATTCCCGGTCAGGGCACATGGCCAGGTTGCCGGCTCGATCCCCAGTAGGGGGCGTGCAGGAGGCAGCCGATCCGTGATTGTCTCTCATCATTGATGTTTCTCTCTCCCTCTCCCTTCCTCTCTGAAATCAATATATATATTAAAGACCCTATTAAATCATCTCCACTCCCTTTTGCCAGGTAAAGGTTGTACATATACCTGATTATCGCTGCTTTGCTCGGAATACCAAGAAAGCTGGCAAGTTTTGATGGTCATATTTCGCCCTGTGGCCGGGTGGGGTGACGATTTAAAGACCACCCTGCGTGGGAAAAGGCTGTGTTGACATGTTAAGAGACCCAGGAGTGTTAAGAAGTCTGAAGGGCGGAGGTATAAAAAGGCACGTTCACAGTATGTACTCATGGGAAATGGTGGGTTACGCCCCCACAGCCTGTGGGAGATGGGAGAGAGACCCCCAGTTGGATAAGCAACCCTGCAGGGCCTCCCGGATGCTTGAAATGTCACCGTTAGAGATATCGATTCCTTTGGGGTTTGCTGAGCCTCTATTAAAATGCAAATTCCCCTTGAAGGGGCAATAGCTCCAGCCTTTATCAGCCAACACCTTAGCGGGGATGGGATCCATTTTCCCATTTAATGGGATGGCCCAGGGACGCACAGGGGGTGGGGAATTCCGCAGATAAAGTGGCTGACCTCAAAACGCTGGCCTGCGGCCAGTGTTGCTTTCTCCTTTCTCCTCGGTTCTTATCTCTCACGAGAAGGAGCCCCTTCAGGCATCCTTTAGAGAGCGGGCGTACAAATTCACATTTCCTGGAGACGTTCTCTAGAAATTCGCAGGGCTTGGAACAGTGCCAGAGCAAGATCCCCCGACTGCCAGGAAGTTTCCTTCTCCCTGTAGTCACCTTAATTATTCATTTATTCACACCTCCAACAAAAGGCACCCAGGCACCCGTGTAGCCACTATGGAAAACAATATGGTGTTTCAAAAAAAACAAAAAAAAGACACATAGAATTATCCTATGATCCTTGCGAATCCAGCAATTCCACTTCTGAGTATATGAAGCAGGGACTTTGAAGATATTTGCACTCCCATGGGCATAGCCGCAAAACGTGCACAATAGCCAGTCGGTGGAAATAAGCCACGTGTCCATCCATGGATGCATGGAGAAGCAAAATGTGGTGTCGTAAAAAGGTAGGAAATGTGGACATGTGCTGAGGGAGATAAGCCGGTCACGAAAGGTCAGATCCTGTAGGAGTCCACATATGTGCGGTACCTATAGTAGTCCCGTTCATAGACACGGAATATACAAGGATGGTTGCCAGGGGCTGCAGGAAGGGAGGTGGGGGGTGACTGTTTGATGGGGGCAGTCTTGGTTGGGGAAGATGAGGGTTCTGTGGAAGGAGGGTGCTGAGGATGGCTGCACAATGAGAACGTCCTCAGTGTCGCCCGATGACACCCCGACACACGGCTCCAAACGGTAATTTTTATCCGACGTATATTTTACCAAAAGGAAAACTATACAATGAAATACCTCTTTACTAGTACATCCACTTCTAGTAAAACCTACGAGCCCTCGCCTGTTTGGTTCAGTGGATAGAGCGTCGGCCTGCAGATCGAAGGGTCCCAGGTTCGATTCCTGGTCAGGGCACATGCACAGGTTGTGGGGTCAATCTCCGGGGGGGGGGAGTGCAGGAGGCAGCCGATTCGTGATTCGCTCATCATTGACGTGTCTCTCTCCCCCTCTCTCTCTGAAATCAATAAAAAGATACTTAAAAAAAATACCTGCGAATGACAAGTGATGGCATGGATGTAGAGAAAGTGGACTCCTGTTCATTGCTGGTGAGAATGGAAAAGGGGGCGGATGGGAAATAATCTGGCTGCTCCTCAAAACGAAATACAGAATTATGGCCCGGCCGGTGTGGCTTAGTGGTTGAGCATGGACCCATGAACCAGGAGGTCACCAGTTCCATTCATTCAGGGCACATGCCCGGGGTTGTGGGTTCAATTCCTGGTCTGGGCACATACCTGGGTTGCAGGTTCCATCCCGAGTCGGGGCATGTATGGGAGACAACCGATCAACGTTCTCTTATCAATGAACATAGAAATAAGATTGTGAACATATAGAAGTATTTTGTAACGATGAAAGCACTTTATGAATGCGGGGTGGCAGTCTTCGGTTCATAAGGACCCTGTAATACACCTGGACAAGCGTCCTTAGCAGGTAGTGGTCGACTACTATCTATTCATTTGAATTCTATATCCTAAGCTCGATGTGAAAACTGAAGTTCCTGAAACTTCTGAGCTACTGATGAGAATTCTGTGTGGAGCCCCTGAGAAATAATAATTGTTCCGGGAGGGCAATGAGGCTAAGAAGTAAGTTCCACTTAAATCCACTAAACTGGCATTACTATTAAATCAGGTTATAAGAAACGTACATCGCCACGATTTCATTAGACTAAGCAATTATTCACGTTCACACACTGACTCAAACATAATTATACATGGGAAAAAAACGTTATGCCTTTAGGGAAAGCGAATCAAAATTTTGAGTCAAGGCACACAGGAGTTGATAATTCTCATCCATCAACGGAACAGAAAATAATGAAGTAAAATTCATCATTTGGTTTTGAAGGATGAGGGTCACCTTGAACCGGAAGTCCTTGAATAGTTGCTTTAAAAAGAAACAACATGCCTGGCCAGGGTGACTCAGTCATTGAGTGTCAACCCATGAACCAGGTCGTCACGGTTCGATTCCTGTTCAGGGCACATGCCCAGGCTGTGGGCTCCATCCCCAGTACGGGGCCTGCAGGAGGCTCTGGGAACAGACACACACCAACACACGCAGGCACATGGACAGACGCGTGGGTGGGACGCTCTCCGAGTCACATGCTTCTCCTCTTGCTCCGTCTCCAGGCCTCAGTGTTGGCGCTGGTCATCCTACAGGACCCTCTGGGCACGGGCCACGCTCCACACCCACCCGCCAGGCCTCCCGTGGGCAGGATTTCAAAGCAGGCTTACGAAGTTGCACGAAACCATAAACAGTGGCCAACAGTCCAAGCCAGCACTTTATTTTAAAAGTTTTATTCTGCAGATTTAGAAATTTGAGACTTTTTTTAATAACCGCAAAAGAAATCCAGTCACACCTAATGGTTAACAGAATGTAGTGGTGTATTATCCAAACGGAAGTCGTGCTGATGTGCCGTAATAAATCGTCTATTAGTACAAAAATACACTTTAGGGCACAGCAGTGTATCACAAATTACAGGAGGGGTATTTTGCAAGAGTTTAATCAAACTAGAGACTTCTGAGTAACTGTATCTTTTAAATGCAGCACTTAAAAATGTAACAACTCTGTGCATTTCTTTTTCTTTAAAAAAAATGACCTTGTGTGTGTCATAAAAATGCTGCTTTATTGCTGCAGAGGTCAAAGTTCAAGGCTCAAGAGGTACAGGAGAGAATACAAAGGTAGCCTTAAGAAACTTGGTTTTGTTTATGTATAAAAAAAGGGAAAGTTTATAAAAGTTAATGTACAAACCAAGAACAAAAGTGGTATGCACGCGTTATGTACAAGCATCCTTGAAACATCAAAATTTTCGAATGCATAGCCAAAAAGAAAAAAACAAGAAACAAGAAACAAAGCCACCACTGCCCCCTGCCAAAAAAAAAATAAAAAAATCTCCAAATCACACCATTATTTCCTTCTGGGTGATCACACCCTTCTGGAACCACCAAATCCACAATCTGCTCAACCTGCTTCATGATTCAGTGTCCGGATGTGCACAAAAGCCATAAAAACCTAGTCCTACACAGAGACGACCTAAGAATTAAGAACAGGAGGGTAAGGCATTCCTGCTGGTTAGTGTGTCTGGTGATGTGGTTAATTCGAGACCCAGAGGCCCCGGGACAGTCGCGTGCTTTGGTGCCCTTCCCCAAGAAGCGTGTTTTCATGTACAATCAGTCAGCGTCTTCGCTGGACCCTCCGCCCCACGCGATCGATCCGCTGGCTGTCCATTTGTTTAGTCCACCACATTGGTTCTGCCCCGGGTGCATGTAGATGTGTGCGTGTTACCCCATGCATAATAACATAACGTGTGCGCCAGGCCAGGGCCACCGGCAAGTGGGAAACCGTGTACTCTGAAAAGAACAGAACTCAGATGCACCCCTTTACTGGCTGGTATTTTAACGGAAATCAGTGTGAGTGAAGCAGTGACCACAGGAAGTACAATAATCATTACGAAGCCAACGTCTGTGAACCCCTCGCCGAGGCCACGTTCTTCCGGCACAGCCCGTAGTTCGCAGTGTTTTCTGCCCACGGCTCAGGAGGGCGCTCGCGAATCATCAGTTCAAACAAAGCGCTCAGTACTAGCCCGCGGCAGCATCGACTCTAAGGGAAGTGTAATACTTGAGAGAGTGGTTCCGTTCAGATGGAGGAAGTCTAGCCCAGGTTCACATTATTTCAGCAAGGTCCTGTTTCCGGATTAGAAGTGGTCGATCAGGACAGAGACGCAGTTGGCTCCCACCAGGTAATTCGGATCTCCAGGAAGACACTTGTTTTGCCAGGTTTTGGGGTCACCTGTGCGGGTAACAGAAGCTCAGGTCATCTGCAGTCACTAGCCATAACGCTTTGCCAACACAGGCCAACAGACATACATGTACTTATATACAATTTCCTTTATGTCTGATCATGCTGCCTTTATACCCAAACTAGACGATGACTCAATCAGCGGGGTGATCACACGGTAAGGCATAGAAATGCTGACCCACTAGATTGTAACCTGAAACTATTATAATTAACACATTGCGGACGGATCACAAGAATTCTTGCTTCATATTACACAGTGTTTTACAAAGCATCGTACTTTAAAAAGATATTAGCTTGTAAGAACATGTAATAAGTAACTTCAAAATGCAATGGGTATTTGATTTTAAAGGGTGCCTTTAACATTTATGTAAAACATTTTTCATACTCATTCAATAGAAACTTACCTGGCCACTGGGTAAAGCTAGCAATGAAACTATTTTAATATAATACTGCATAATGCTCACCAGATTTACCAAAAATTCAGAAGCAGGACTATATATTCTTATTTTTCTAGATCAGGATCAAGTAAGGTGACCTAAACCGCAAATACCACAAGTTCCAACTGGTAACTGACTAGTCGCCCAAGGAAGTGAGAAACGTGAAAATACAATGGGAGCTTTGCAATTGGGACCTTAACACAAAACCACTGAAAAGCAGTGTGTACACAGAAGCGACTTAGATGTTTACACTGAAAACCACGGCCAAGTGTGATCCCAGTGGAAGGTCTTCTGTCTTCCAAGTTCCTGTTACACATGCGTTGAGGATTGAAAAACTAAAGAACAGTGACCCAAAATAGAAATCATATAAAAGGAGTCAAATCATTTTAGTAAGAAGGTGAAAATGCCTGCATATGGAGGACAGTATCAATTCTCCCATTGCACCTTAAAAAATTATTTACTTATTTATTTATGTATGTATTTATTTATTTTTTAGAGAGAGAGGAATGGGGGAGGGGAAGAGGGAGAAAGAGAGAGAGAGAAAGAGAGAGAGAGAGAGAGAGAGAGAGAGAGAGAGAGAGAGAGAAACATTGATTTGTTGTTCCACTTAGTCAAGCTTCACTGGTTGACGCTTGCATGTGCCCTGACCGGGGATCAAACCTGCAACCTTGGTGTTATCAGGACGACGCTCCAACTGAGCTGCCCGGCCAGGGCTCCCATCCTCAGAATTCAGACAGAGACGTCATTTGGTTGCGCACCAAGAAACAGTCGACCTTTGGCCAATCGATGGTTAAAAGGCAGACACCTCTCTACCTTCCCTGTTCAGTCGGTCAGTGCAGCACAAAGGGCTGCTAACGGCCGGGTCCTCCCTCAGCCCAAGGTCAATCAATGACAGTCCCAAAGCCCCAAAGGACAGAGTGAAGGAGCATACCCGACGAGGAGTCGGATGATTTTAGAGCAAAAGACCAACCGTCAGGAGTCATGGACGCACAGTGTGGCAGGCGCAGCTCCACGGGCTTCAGGAACTTGAGGCCATGGGGCCCACACATCACCAACGGGCTCAGCAGGGTCTCACCTGGAGGTGGGGGAGAGGTTAGATGGCTGTCTTCCTCTGCACCTGGGTTCTCCTCACCCTCTCACAATATTAATGATACGCTAACGGGTGAGCTCTCCATAGCAGCACTAAGAAAAACTGACGGAAGCCACACAGGTAGTTCTACACGTCCTAGTAGCGCTTTAAACCCAGTGTGTCCCCAAATCACGCCGACATGTCATCAGTACACTGAATCTTGGAAACCCGTGTGCGGCACTTCCAGCACATTTTGCCTCGAGGTAGCCGCATTTCCAGGGATAAACAGCCCCGAGCGGCTGGCTCCTGCAGGTAACTCAGCGTAAGGTACATTCACATGTACTTCTTATACGTTACCTACATCCTGCGTTTCCAATGCCACAGATTTGGTTGAGGGGCTCATGCGGGGCCACCATGCGTTAGTGCTCTGGCCAGATGTTGGGAAGTGAGGGGAAGTAACGCGTGCCCGGCAGGGAAGCACTGCTCAAAGGCTCTAAAAGGAGCCGTAGCACTGAGCATCACGTCACCCTGACAGATCCGGGAGACAGGGAAAACAGCAGCACCGATTCCTTAAGGAGCCCCCAAACACAGACTGTAATGCCTGACAGGGCACTCCCCCCCCTGCCGAGTGTCTGCTGGTGCTGGACCCGGGTGGAGTCAGACCTGTCCCACGAGGCTTATGCTCTCCAAACAGGAGACAGGCACAGAGCAAGCCTGGCTGAGTGGGTGTTCCCTCCCCCGGCTCTAGAGATGGAAGGGGGACTGACTCAAAGACAAACTTGGAGAGGCTGGCTAAGGCCGCCCGGCAGACAGGAGGAGGGACGCCCAATGGCCTGTCACCTGCCACTGTCACGCAGGAAGCGAGCACGCCGCGTGGGAGGCCCAGCCCCTCGGCCTCGCTACGGGACAACACTGCGTGCCCGGGACGCCAGCCGGGCCCTCCGAGGAGGCCTCTCTGCTGGAGGAGCAGCTCTGCGTGGCCAGCGTGGGGGTGAGGGTCCGAGAGCCCTCACCTGAGCTCCCGGCAGCCGCGTCAGGGAGACCGAGCAGAGCAAGTCCCGTTACCTTTCTCCTTGTCGAGGGGCGGGAGGATGCTGTTGTCGCGGCAGACCTTGAAGTAGATCTCCTGCTCCACGCCCTCCGGGATGGCGCCCTGGGGGATGATGATGCTGACGCCCGTCTCGATGGAGCTCAGCACCCCGCCGTTGCTGCTGAACACGCCCCGGGCCGTGGCCACCACGGTGTGGCCGTCCTCGTCGTTGTCCTCCTCCACTGCCGACGGGCTGCGTACAGAAACGGCGTGAGTCCACTCCCGCCCTGCCGGCTTCACCCTGTTTCCCTTTCTCCCGGCCACCAGGAAGCTCTCTACTTGAACAGCTAACGTTTTCAGTGCTCGATGTGACTCACAGGCTAACGAAGCAGATGCTCCCTGGAGAAGTCAATTTCATTTTGAAGGCAACTCATCCCATGCGAGCCCTGACCCGGGCCGGGGATCGAGCCTGCAACCGAGGTACATGCCCTTGACTGGAATCGAACCTGGGACCCTTCAGTCCACGGGCTGATGCTCTATCCACTGAGCAAACCGGCCAGGGCCACCTTTGTTTCTTTTAACATCACTCTGAGCAAACAGTGGCCGAGGAACACAGATGCCGATGTTCCTGGGGTCATGGGAAGCTGTGGCTGTTGAGAGAATGGGCTGGATCTGTGCTCCCCGCACCCCAGCTGTGCGAACGTGGGCACAGAGCAAGGTCACTCGACTCAGTCTCAGATAACAGGGCTAATGATAAGGCCTACTGGCCACGGTGACCATCAGCTTCATTACTCTTGTGCCTCTTGGATGATAGCGTTCGTGGCAACGTTTTGGTCAATACCAAGGCCCAAGCCGATGTGGTTCAGTGGATAGAGCATAGGCCTGCGGACTGGAAGGGTCCCAGGTTCGAGTCTGGTCAAGGCCACATGCCTGGGTTGCAGCTTGATCCCCGGTGGGGGGCATGCAGGAGGCAGCCAATCAATGATTCTCTCTCATCGTTGATGTTTCTATCTCTTTCTCCCTCTCACTTCCTCTGTAAAATCAATAAAATTATATTAAAAAACAAAACAAAAAAAACAGTACTCAGGTTCAAGTTTGAGCTAAAACTATCATGTCAAGTCCCCAATCAGCTAAGCAACACAGCTCCTGTCTGACAGATCACGAGGCCAGAAGGAGGGCGCTCTTACCTCCCAGGAACGGCTCTGGGCCCGGTGCTGAGGTTGTTCACGTGGTATCGGGGCTTCTCCGTGTGGATGGAGAAGGTCTCCACTCCGCTGTCGAACTCGGGAGGCTGGGCCTTCACCAGGGTCTTGGGAGAAGTCGGGACTTTTGAAGACACGTCAGGCTTGTGTGCAGTTTCACTCGGCAGAAGGTTGTGGCTGAATTTAGGGCTTTCAAACTTGCGCTCGAATGGCCGCGCGGAGCTGGTGTACGGCTTGGGGGTGAAGCGGTTGTAGGCTGGGGCGACTGTTTTCTGAGGCTGTTCAGTGCCGTTCACTGGCGCTTTATCTGGGAAGCTTTTCTGGGGGTAGAAGGTAGACGGAGCAGGATCCTCTCGGCTCATTGTTCTGAAAGTGACTGGCTTGTTCTGAGATGGAGGTGGCTCTGGTTTGGACACTAAAGAATTCTGAAAATCCAATGACACCGAATTACCTGGGAAAAAAAATACACAACTATTTTTAAAACTTTAAGAAAATATATTTTTTATTGATTTCAGAGAGGAAGGGAGAGGGAGAGAGAGACAGAAACATCAACGATGAGAGAGAATCACTGATCGGCTGCCTCCTGCAAGTCCCACACTGGGGACGGAGCCCGCAACCCAGGCCTGTGCCCTGACCAGGAATCGAGCCGTGACCTCCTGGTTCCTAGGTCGACACTCAACCACTGAGCCAAGCCGGCTGGGCTGTGTAATATTTTTTATATGAAAAACTATGTGCTTAGAAGCAAGAGTTTAATTTTATGAGAATTACTCTATTACAGTGGTGCTGCCAACTTCTGGATGTCCTACCTTCCCCGTGGGCTCCCTTAGCGTGGGCGTGGAGCGAGGAGCTGGAGCTGGGCTGGGGCGGCTGGGAGTACTGGGAGGGCAGCGGGGGTGGGGGTGGCGTGGGCTGGACTGAGTCATAGCGTTTGTCACCGAAGGCATCAGCGTCAATAGACTTGCCCCTGTGAAGAAATGAAGACAGTGCCAACACCTGAAAATGGACTCACACAGACAAAACTCGTCCACATTCTCTAAGTATCTCTAAGCTATTTTTTTAATCTAGGAATTTCACAACGTGTTCTTATGAGTATGGCAGCTCCTCTATCAAAATAGGCAAACCAATCCCACCGTCACCAGCACAAGGAATGCAGAGACACACAGATACTTCAAGGAAAACACCCAGGAGATGGCAACCAGAGGCAAACGGAATTCTGGGTACACTTGTACTATTTCCCTCTGCTGTTTACAATTTAATAACGTCTTGCAAATGTTTTGAAAAATATTCACAGGCCCAAATCTTCCTTGGGCTCACTTCTAATTTCCTGTCTGGGATGCCAAGGCCGCTCCGGTGCACCCAGAACCGGTGTCACCCGGGAGCCGGCCACTCCCTTAGCGAGGGGCTGGCAGTGACTGCTCTGGCTTTAGGGCCAGAGGTCCCAGTGACAACTACTCGAACTCCGCCTGCGAGGGCAGAGACACCAGGTAAGCGAGCGAGTGTGCCGTTCACTTTAAACTTCGCCCTTGATCTCCCAGATCCACCTTTTAACAGCTAGAGGAGCAGATCCTGCTCCGTTTTACAGGCTCATTGAAGTCAGATTGGGCCGCATACGCGTATTTGCTCAGGCTGCCATGGGTAACGTGACACAGAAAATGCACACAAAAGAGCCTTGAAGAGAGACCCATAAGTGGAACGTCCCATCTACACCTGCGCAGAGCCGACTGCACTGGCGTTATGTGCACCCACAACACAGACATGTCGAGTGACTTTCACAGACTCCGTGGAGCGTGAGCTTTAAACTGTGCCGCTAGCTGGCTTTCTGCATGGACACGAGCGTTTGACGATGGCGTTCGAATCTGGAAGTGCACATAACGCCAATGACAGGGGAGCACACCTGATGAACAGCCTCACGTGATGCCAGTCTTACCACTTGACGCTCCTTTTCAAGTAGCCATAGCTAGGGTAAGAGCCCAGAAATCTAGGGATGGCCGAGCAAGCGCAATAGAAAAACGAGAGGAAACGGTCAATCTAACTAAGCAAGTCGCAGCAAAGGGAACTCAAATGTCATTAAAAACATCCACCAAGGCGCTCTCCCTCCTGGCGCCAAGCCTTGCCTTCCCTTCCCCGACCCGGGCACCTACGATTGGCTTCCTCGCTCCCAAGCTCCCAGGGCCCTTCCTTCGCCTCCATAACTTGTTTCCTAAGCCCATTTCCTCTAGGAACTGCTTCTCCTACCTCTGTGATTGTACCAGATAAATGTTCTCTTACAAAAAAAAGTTGAGTGTCGACCTATGAACCAGGAGGTTATGGTTCAATTCCCAGTCAGGGCACAGGCCTGGGTTGCGGGCTCGATCCCAGTAGGGGGCGTGCAGGAGGCAGCAGATCCGTGATTCTCTCTTCATGATGTCTCTCTCTCTCTCCCCCTTCCTCTCTGACACTCTTATGGTCCAGTCATCCTTTCTTACCTTTGATTTTAACACCTCTCCTAATGCAGAACTTTCTACATCTGCTCTGAGAGTTTAAGAACAAAAGCAAACGCAGTGCCTCCCACTAGAAAGTGTGCCTGTGCTGACCCGCTGGAGGCTGCTGGGAGCGTGTATCACACACTCGACCATCGCCTTCACGGTACACGGAGCTTCATGGGATGGCCCCCTACACAATCGAGCCTTTATGTGGCCTCACTCCCCAAAGGTAAGTCTCGGGTTAAGTGACTTACTTCGAGGAATAACTAGAAAGGCTGGGCGGATGCTGGGAGTGAGCCGGCTTGGCCGGCTCTGGGAGGTGGCCTGTGGGAATGTGTGCGGAGGGCTTGTTCTCAAAACTTCTCCGGTCGAAGTAGGAGAGCTGCTTGCGGTAGTACTCTTCGTCTTCCTCGGGGTCGTAGTGGTTTGACCGGACAATATCTTCCGGGGGCTTCGGCTGAGGCTTTTGCGGTTCTGGGACCCTGACAATGAACGGCAAACAGGACAACCTTGTAGGTGGTGACTTTGCCAGGACACTGGGGCATGGACATCGCTGACCGCGACCCTTCGGTGACTGCTGAGCAGCCCCCGTCAACATGGCCGTTTTAACTCCACATCTTCACACGAGGCTCAAAAGGCCACCCGCTGCAGGCCCATGGGTTCAATACCATCTATTCCGCTGACAATGATCTGGTTAGAGGCCTCACAGCAGGTTAAGAGCAGTTATTTAGAAAAAAGGAAGTGGAACCAACCCAGTGGAGAACTTCTCCAGGTACAGACACCAATGTCAGCAGCAAGCCACGACTGAGGGAGGCTTAGAGACGTGCAAGAACTTTAACCAGGACCAAGAAATGATCCCCAGACAAGGAGGCAGCTCTGTGAAGCGCACAGTCCTCGAGGGCACAGGAAGCAGCCAGGGAAGAAAGCAAGCTTTTAGGCAAATTAATGCACCGCAGTTCATGCTCTGCGCAGTGCGTTTTGGAAACTGCATCAAAACGAAAAAACTTAGGCAGGGCTAAGCTTCCGTGCCTATTCTTCATCACACAGCTCATCTGCTAGCAATCCTGGCTAAGGAGACACCACATAGTTTGTATGTTCGTGAAAAGCACCGGCATTATTAAATAAGAGGAAGATGTACAGACAGACAGCTCCTCTCTATACAAGCACAGCCGCTAAGCAGAGGCCGTGTCGGAGCCAGCCTGTCACTCAGCAGCACCAGCAGGTCCAGTGAGGGCCCAGCTGCCAGGTTTCCCTGCCGGCTCCGCCAGGACCTGAGCCTCCCCCGCGCAGCCCCGGGGCCTCCCTCACTGCACTGAAGAGCTCAGCACAATGGCAGCCAACTTGTAGCCATACTACGAGTGTTAGGGCTTTAAGCTTTTTATTTTAATCATTTGCTAGAAAAGTGTATTTTCAACATGTTTCCTGAAGCTATAAAAAGACCTGTTACAGAGGTATAATAAAGACCTTTATTTTTTTGTCCAGGGCCACCGTGTTAGTTAGAAAGACTATAGTTCGTTCAAGGACAAACAGACCTCTTCCCTCTCCCTCACACTAAGGCTGGCTCACTGCCCAAGAGGACCCCAAGCCGGGCCAGCTCCACCCACACCAGGGCGTGTACCCACCTGTACAGGGTCTTGTCGTGTTCACTGAACTGACTCTGAAGAGTGGCTTTAGGACCCACGATGGGAGCCCCTGGCGGTTTGGACGCTGCCTCTGGAGGCTGCAAAAATAAGACAAACACGCCCGGAACAGATCACGACAAAGCAGGCTGCACGCGGGGGCAGGGAGGGCAGGGGAACTGCTCTTCACCACCTGCTGTGCGCCCAGGGCGGGAGGGAAGACAGTCCCGTCTTTACCTTAAAGCCCGCGTGGTTCTCGTCCTTCCTGTTCTCCAAGGACGCAGACCTCTTGTTCTCAAACATCTTCACCCTGGTGAGCACGGACTGGGGCTTCATGGCTGGGTCCTCCTCCTCGGCGGGAGCTGGGGGTGCGGGCAGGGGCTTGGTGCTGGGCGGCGGCACATCCGGCTTGTGCTGAGAGGCTGGTACAAGAGGAGGGACCAGCGCAGCCCCGTGGAGCGGCTCGTAGCGGCCTGCCTTCGAGGTAAAGCCTTGTGCGGGGACTTGCTCGTAGCTCCGTGGGTACTGCTCATAACACTGCTTGGACTCAGGGGCCTGGGGGCCCGCGGGGGGCGGCGCCTCGGGCCTGTACCTGCCGTGCACCTCATACCCGGGAGCCAGGGGCTCCTCGTGCCGCAGGGTGGAGGTCCTGGGCGGCTGCTCGTAGCGGGGTCTGCTGTCATAGGGCAGAGGGGCTGGCTCCTCGAACCGCGGGAAGTAGCCCCGCTCCGAGGGCTCTTCGGGGTGCTGCCTGGAGTCCAGGTCCCGGGGGTGCTGACTGTCAGAGGGCCGGGGCTGGTAGGGCTGCTTGTCCTCGTAGTAGGACCAGTGCTCCTCGTAGGCAGGGATGCGCTCCTCATAGCGCAGGCGGTGGTCCATGTGCCGCGAGAACGGGTCGGTGTAGCCAGAGGAGTCGTATCTGTACGTGGGCTGCTCCAGGTCCCTGCTGGCTTGCTTCTCCACGTACGGGGCATGGGGCTCGTAGCTCGGCTTGGGGTCCCTGTCGGGCCTCAGCACGGGATGCCCCCCGGCCGGCTGCTTCACCACATGATTCTGCCGGATGATGTCCTCGGGGTAGGGGTCCTTCCGGTACACCTGCGCACAAGAGCCAGGGGTAAGCGCACAGGCTTGTCTCTCCTTCCCGTGGATTATAATAGAGAAAACTACGGTTTCCTGTAGTTCCATAACCGGCGTGCCCCACCGGTTATGACCAGGGCGGAGAGATTAGTGGAGAAGCCAGTTTCAGCAAGAGCTCAACATGTACAGTGCAGGGGGGCTTTTATGTGCCCATCTAAGCTAATAAACAATCACTGTGCTAATTATTCCATTTAGTAGAAAGTTAATCAGCACCCGAACCATTCATTCCCCTTGATTGGACACTGAAAATAAAAATCACAAAGAAAATTTGCACATACCGTGATTTATAAAACAGGAAAATGTCTAGGCGGGGTCTCCGTTATATAGTAAGGAATTGTGCAAGACACGGAAAACCCCAAAATAAGAATAAAAAAAATATAAAGCAAAAAATCGCAATGACAAGGCCTGTTCCGCAACGACCCGTGTGCCACCGGAAGCCATGCACACCACAGGCGGGAAGGCAGCCGCTGGCCGGAAGCGCTCTGTGGCCCAGGGACGAAGCAAAGGGACCCGGGAGGGGAGTGCGCGTGGGCACCGCGGCCCAGGTACCTGTGCTGGGTCTACATGCGACGGAAGTGCAGCTCCGTGGTCCCTGAGCAGGGAGTGGGCGGCCTCGGCCCTGGGTGCTGGCAAAGAGTCAGCTGGTGGGGAGTGAGAGGCGGGAGGGGCGGGTGCCTCCAGTCTGACATGAGTGAACTTGACACTGTGATTGACAGCAGAGGTGGGTGGTGCTGGGTTTGTTTCGGGCGAAAGGTAAGGGCCTGGAGATGAGGCGTCTGCTTTCTGTGAGAAGTTTAAAAAATTAAAGGGGTGCTGGGCGGGTGTGCGGTTCTGGGGCCCATTAGCGGGGCTAAAAAAAATTATATTTTTTGGGGGGGGAAAAATAAAGTTTTTATGTTAAAAAAGGACCTCCTTTGGCTTGCTGGGGGGAAAAAGAAACACAAACACAGGGGGGAATTAAGCCCCCCGGCATCTCAACTCGAAATTAAAAATTACTTCCTGAGGGGGGAGGAAAGGAGGAATATATTCTTTTTTAAAAAAAATATATTTCTATTGATCTCAGAGAGGAAGGGAGAGGAAGAGAGCGATAAACATCAATGATGAGAGAGAATCATGGATCGGCTGCCTCCTGCACGCCAGCTACTGGGGATTAAGCCCGCAACGGGAATCGCGCCATGACCTCTGGGTTCACAGGTCAACACTCAGCCCGAGCCGCGTGGCGAGCTGCATGTACCCTTAACTCAGCCACACCCTCCAGTCCAGCAGCGCACCCTACCTGTGCCCCTGCGCACTTGCTGCTTACCTGTTGAGAGGCTGTTTTAAGTCCCGGGGAGTCTAGTCTATGAACGGGCTGTGGCTGCGCTTGTGGTGAGTAGGGAGGAAATGTCTGGTTTTCGTGATGCATCCCAGAGGAATCCTCTCTTACGGGCTCAGAGGACCGGGTAATGGCGGACTCCGGGGGGGTCCCCACCTCATCATTAAGAGTCTCATCTAGTTCTTGATCAGTGTAGGCCCCGCCTTCTGTGTCTGTGTCTTCATAGTCAGAAGTGTGTCTACTGTCCGTGCTATACATTGAGTATTCACTACCTGGGGCTGACAGGTAGGACAGGCGATCGTCATGCAAGTCAAGGTCATCACTGGTAGCACCATCCGCCTGGGTCAAATGAAAGTAAATTACAAGTTTTATTCAGTATTCTGTGAGAGAGGGCCTTTAGTTCACAAGGGAGACTGAAAAGTTATCGGGCTTTGAAGAAACCACACCTAGTTCTCGACACTTCTGCTGCGGACAGGTCAAGAAGATTGCACACGCGCACATGCAGACACACAGCACCTTGGAGACCCGAGGGCTTGGATGAATGGAAGGTTGCTGGCCAATCAGGACAGAGCTGGCCTCTGGGGCCCAGCCCGGAAGACAAGGAAGGGATCCTGGCACCACTCGGGTTCCTAAGCCCAGTCAGTCACTAGCGTGTCAGCCCGAAGCAAGGTGAAGTGGGAGGGTGCTGCCAGCCCACGCTCACAGCAGGGACACACCGACAGGACAGCACGTGAGAACGGTCATGGATATAAACTGTAGTGGAGGAAGAGCTTAAGCTTTTATTATTTTTTAAAAAATTTTTATTGATTTCAGAGAGGAACGGAGAGGGAGAGAGAGAAACATCAATGATGAGAGAGAATCATGGATCGGCTGCCTCCTGCACGCCTCCTACTGGGGATGGAGCCCACAACCCCGGGCATGTGCCCTGACCAGAAATTGAACCCTGACCTCCTGGTTCATAGGTTGATGCTCAACCACTGAGCCACACCAGCCAGCAGAGCTTAAGCTTCTATACAACAAGGGAACAGCATCACTAAGTCCTGGCTGCCTCTTACACGTTTTTCTGTTATTGTTCAAAGACGGAGCATCCAGCGGATGGCAAGGGAGGAACACAGCTTACTTCTCTGTAACAAGTAATCAGAGTCAAGTTGGCGTTAACAATCTGCGCTGCCGTCTGAGAGAGGATGAGAGGTGCCTGAGGGGAAGGAGGTGAGAGCGGCACCGACAGGCTGCCACTGGACACAGACCTCACCCTGGGACTGGATGAAACACAACAGTCCGTAAAGGTCTTTCTTGCCTGGACACGGTGCCCAGTTAGCATGAGCGCCGAAGGTCGTGGAACCCAGAAATCAATCTTTCGTCCACGCCCAGGACAAACATGAGGCCGGAGCCGCCTGCTGGCTCTCCACGCAGCCCGCGCCTGCTGGGGAAGAGCCCGGCCCGGCACTGCCTTCTTGGTGGGAAGACGAGGGTGTCGGCCTCCTGGAGGCTCAGGGCAGGGGGAGTCATGTCCCGGCAGGGTCTGTCCCCCCAACCCTCAGTGGCTTCCTCACTCTGTCCTGCGGAGGAAGAGCTGTCTCCCTGCCCTCTGCTGTGACCTTGACCCTGCAGGGCTGAGGACTGCAACCCAGCACCGGCCAGGGGAGAGGGAAGGCCTGGGGGAAGGGCACCTGGGACTCACAATCCACCTCGCTGCCAGGCATGGAGTGCACAAGTGAGCACCAGGCAGGGCTGCTGGGACGGAGAGGTCACGCGCCTGCTCAGTCTCAGGACGACCTTTCTCGGGGAGCAGGGCAGACAAGACGGGCCGGACGTGCACACAGCCCTCCGCAGCAGTCAGCGCCCGGCAGCGAGCGCACGACAGTCAGTGTGGAGTGAGTGCTGTTAGTCTGACGATCCGCTCAGGTAAAACACACTTGGATGGAAAACGGAAGCTCCATCTAAATTGTAACCAATCTCTCTGATTTACCGAATGCATCAACCTATCCTGGTAACAAATTAAATTGCCTACTTTTCTCACATAAGAAGTTGGGGGAGTTAGACCTTTCCTTGTGAAATCCAAGCCAAGAAAGGAAACAAAGAGAAAGGATAGAAGAGGGAGGTTTGAGGTTTAAAAACCTCTCAGATAGGTAGACAGTGCCCTCTGCATTTCCAAGCCAATCTCATCCGAGAATCACAGTGCGATCAGCAGCCTGGCCGACAGAGGGCGCTAACAGGGCGTGCTGTCCCAGAGCAGCGGGCAGAGAGGTTAGTGACGCCATGGCTGCCAGGTGGTGGTTTCTCTTCCCCCTTTCCCGGGCTCAGGGTCCCAGCTGCCACCCGTGTCAGTTCCTCAGAGTGCTCTGATGGCTCACAGAGAGCCTGCCCGAGCGGTGAGGGGGAGGGTCCTGACAGGCTCTCTGCACTGCGTGGTGGGAGCAGCAGCCCCGCCTCCCCACGGGAGCGTGTTAGCCTCTGCACTGCGGGGCTGCGTGTCCTGGGTGGGGGACGGGCCGGGCCAGGAGCATGCAGCATGCACATGCACAGCCGAGCATCTGCATCACAGCCAGGCGGAGGGAGGGGCCATGCAGGGGCAGGCACAACACAGCCCAAGCCGACGGTGGAGAACAAAATAAAAAAACAGACATCACAGCCTCCCCTAGCAACCAGAACGGATTCAGGCGGCACTGATCTGAAGGTAAAACACGTTGAAATAACAAGTTCTCTGAACGGTCCACTCTGAGCAAACATTCGCTCTCCCACCAGAACCAACAGGCCTCTCCCGTGAAAGATGGCCCCCAACCAGGAAGAGTGACAGCAGAAACGGGGTCATTTAAAGCCTGCCATTGGATGTGGGGAAATCAGAACTTAAAGCCAAAAAGGAGGTCTAACTCTGAGCGACACTCCCGGGTGTGTTGTAAGAATGTGAACAGGTGCTGAGTGAGGGAAGACAAACCCCTGGGCACGGATTGGGCAGCGCACCTGTCAGTCTAGCAGGCCCTGGAGACCGTGCCCTCCCTGCGGGGCTGCGGGTAGCAGGTGCCCGCCCCTGGCCCTCAGAGGGACCTCTGTCCTCACAGGGAGTCCCGAGTGTCCTGTGCTGAGGACAGCGTTTGGGGGACGCTCCTGTCGCCCACCCGGCTCCCCTCTTTTTCACAGGAGGAAACTGAAGCCAGGTTCAAAGTCATTCCTCAGCGAGACAGGGGCAGAGACAGCACCCAGCCCTGCCCCGTTAGCTGTCATTTAGGAAGTCTTTTGACGGAACACCATGGAGGTGGTAAGTCAACAGTTGAGAGAATTTCGGAATATCTTGCCACCAAAACAACTCGCATAACCCCTCCATACAGATGATAAAAACCAGACCCATTAGAAAACAAAGTAACTCAAAGGCCTCTCCGAGTCGTTATGTAATTTACTAAGCAGGTTAAAAGGTAAAATAATAGGAAACGTCTTACCTTGCCCTCTGAGACCCAAACCAGCTGGTTCTGCTGTTGCTGAATGGCTTCCTTCAGCGCACCGTACCAGCCGTCATTCATTGAATTTAAGTTAATTGTGGCTGAAAAATAAATGAATGACATTGGTTTACAGCCCGGCCACTGCCCACAGTCGGAGTCCCTGGACCTGCCAGGCCTCACGCCTCATCGCTGAGCCATTTGAGATGGGGTTTGAGGACACAGACCTCTGAGCTGTGTGGGACCTGGAGCCTGCACTGCACCGGGCAGCCCTCCAGGCCACGGTGACAGAGGTTTTAGCGTTGGAACGACACAGCGTGTTGGCCCACATATTGCTGCCCAGACACTTAGCTGAAGGAGGCCTCTAGGACACTCACTGGTAAAAAGATGGTGATTATTTTTACGCAGCTTATGAGACCGCTCGTATAGCTTCCTGGCACTTTTCCGAGATTCGGGACATAACCGCATCCTCATTGTTTTCACGCCTTGCTTGGAATCGGGGTTAAGGAAGACCACGATTGGGTACCACTGCGCATAATTCAGGCGATCGACTGCATTTGGTGTGACATCTAATAAAGCATGTTTGTCCTGGAAACACAAAGAAAAAAATGAGTGAGGATACAAGACAGTGAATTAGAATCATCGCAGAAAAAGGCACAGCCTAGACCTGTGGTCGGCAAACCGCAGCTCGCGAGCCACATGCGGCTCTTTGGCCCCTTGAGTGTGGCTCTTCCACAAAATACCACGTGTGGGCGCCGCACGTACAGTGCGATTGAAACTTCGTGGCCCATGCGCAGAAGTCGGTATTTTGTGGAAGAGCCGGTATTTTGTGGAAGAGCCACACTCAAGGGGCCAAAGAGCCGCATGTGGCTCGCGAGGCATGGTTTGCCAAGCATGGGCCTAGACTATCTCCAATCGTGATGGACGTCTCATGGGCTCTGATGTTTCAGGAGCACGTATCAGGAAACTGTCATTAGAAATTAATTCAATACAATTTCTAGCCCAACCTGAAAACAAATAAAAAACTTTAAGCAGCTCACTTTTAAGCTGGCACAATACTTGCAAGCTGACAGTACTGGCTGTGTTCGGTTAGATTAGCAATTTTCAACCGTTTTTCATCTCTTAGAGCACATGAACTAATTACTAAAATTCTGCGGCACACCAAAAAATATACTATATTGTTTTGCTGTTGTGACAAAAAAAAAAAAAAAGGTATAATTTTGATTCATTCACACCGGATGGTTGTTGTTGTGTTGGTCATTTTTTCATTTGACAATCTGAGGGGGAAAAGGTCAGTACCCTGACTGAATTACCAGGTATTGCATGTTTTAGGAATTCTTGCGGCACACCGGCTGAAAATCGAGGGTTAGAGTGATTACACGTATGACAACTTAATGCTCCTGACATGGTCTGCAGAGTGAAAGCAGACTCCCTACCACAAGTATTGCAGTGTAAACTGTCTATTAATGTATTTGAACATGCTTTTGTGGCAATCAAAACCAACTCTAGATGCATGTAACTCTATTCCCACACCTTTCCGCATGGTACGCCGGAAATAATTGTAGAAACACCTTTCTACTCTCAAATGAACCAAACCGCATCCCACTCAGAGCCACAACACTCGCAGCTGAGAACGAAGCAGTCGCTGCTGAGCTCACCTGGTCTATGATCTGCTTGATCGTGTGGAGGCGGATGATGCCGGAGCTACGCTGGTCCGTGCCCGCATCTCGAGGTTCGCTTTCTGTTCATGGAGTCAGGACGAGACAAACATGAAATTGCCGCGGTGAGGTGAGAACTCCTAGCCACCAGCACTGTGACACGCTGGGCGCGGGAACCCGTAGCTGGGTGTGCTGTGCCACGGCCTCCATCCACCCCATGCCAAGAGCAGCCCCCGCCTCCCTCGCTCTCATCATGACAACGAAAATGGCTCCGGACAGCCAATGGGGAGGATCTGCCCTGAATGGGAACTGCTGGGTTAGACCAGTGCTTCCCCACGGGGCTGGGATTAGGAGAGGCAAGTGAGGCCTTGCCTCGGGGTCGAGGTTGAATGGGGCACCCCAACCTCAGTATACTGCAATACTGGGATCCAGTATGTTCAGAACATCAAAACTCATACTCTACACACCAACATTTCAAAGAGAATCAGGAAATGGAACTTGAGCGAAAATTAGGATTGTCACTTGCCCAAGGGAAACTGTCAAATATGGCAATTCTCTCAATTTAGCCCGGCTGGTGTGGCTCAGTAGTTGAGTATCAACCTATGAACCAGGAGGTCAGGGTTCGATTCCCGGTCAGGGCACCTGCCCAGGTTGCAGGATCGGTCCCCAGTGGGGCGTGCAGGGGACAGCTGATCAGTGATCCTCTCTCATCACTGATGTTTCTGTCTCTCTCTCCCTCTCCCTTCCTCTCTGAAATCAATAAAACTGTATTTTGAAAAAAAAGCAAATTGTCACTTCCCTTGGGTGAAGGGACCAGCCCAGCCCTTAGAGGGGCACTGAGTGAATGAACACCTCGGCCTCACCCCAGCCAGTGTGGAGGCGACTCACTTGCAATCTGGTAAATGTCCGGCTCCTCTCGCGCCAGCTTCTCTCGGGCCACGTCCGCTATTGGTCCGAAGATGGTGACCGGCCTCAGGAACCCGGCTGGGGAGAAACCCAGGGAAGAGCAGTTTATGCCTTGTCTGCCATGAGCGCGCGGACACTACAGGGTACAGGCCAGCGTGCGGAGGAGAACATACCTTCCCGGAGGACCACTCTCTCGTAGGCTGGGAACTTGGTCTGCACCGGCTGGGCCGACAAGTCCTCCCTGCTCTTGCGGAGATTCCTCTTGGAGCTGCGAAGGCCCCGGAACCTCCAGAAGTCAGCGCGGTCCCCTCCCGCTGTCTTAGGAAGCGTGTACTGCACACTGGCTAACTGCTCAGCCCTGTGCCAGGGGAGACACCAATAAAATAAAGGTGTTTTAAAATCACAAAATGGAAAAAGACCCCCAAGGAGTGAAATGTCAAATCCTGGATAGAATCTCACATGCAGCTTACATCTCTTACTGGATGAACTAAAATCAAGGGGTTTGTACAACTGGGTCAATTACAGACACAATGACGACAATGAAGATGAATCTTCACATTCCCAGCATTCCCCAGGGGACTGAACTCTGTCATCGTTACTTACTGGGTTCTGAGAGGCAGCCGAACAGTCCTACCTGTTCTTATTGGGGATGATGCCTCGTTCCACTTCCTTGTGATTCTTGCCAATGCGAATAGCGAGCCAGGAGCCCAGTTTTCCATTGTACAGGGTGTCCACAACCCGGAACACCTCGCCTTTGTTGAAACTAAGTCCATACGGAGATTCCTTCTCGTATTCAAAGTGGGTTCTGATATAGAAAGAATCTCCTACATCTGATTCTACGATGCGGCGATAAACTAAAAAGAATCAAGACAAAAACATTATCAATAGCTAGTGGGATAAGAAATGAAGCTGATGAGAATTCACAACACAAAGAGGCTACTGATAATATTAACAAACACTGGCCCTGACCGTGCTGGGCACTTGGCCACATGTACACCACCATTACCTCACGAGATGGGAACGCCCAGCACCTCCACTTTGCAGGTGAGGTGCTGGGAGGGGCATGTGGGTGCTACTGGCACTGGTGGGTGGAGGCCAGGGATGCTCCCTAATGTCCTACGAGGCACAAAACAGCCCCACCACAAAGAAGGCCTTAGCCCACATGTCGTGTGCCGAGGCTGGGAGCCCTGTTCTACACGGACAGGGCACCTGTTTAACCAGAGAACACCAGGCATTCTGGGGCGTGAACACGAACAAACACCAGAGCTCTGCCTAGACAATGTCAGCACAAAATTGTGTGCTTCTCGTGGTTCTGCCAGCTAATACACAATGGGATTTTCCCGAGCCTTGCCCTGGGCTGGTCGGCATCCTACTTAAGCTAGAACACGCTAAGGCTGGCTGGGCCTATCACGGTGCTGTGAGATGAACACATTCATTTACTCCTCGACTCTGAGCGCCTTACTGAAATGGAAATAAACTCCTATCTCAGTCCCCAGCTCCCACAGCCTGCGCCCCGTCCCGCCGGCTCACCGTCCTTCTTCTGCTGCGCCAGGATGGTCACCTCCTCCCCCCGCGGCAGGTCCAGCAGGAAGAGCACGGCTTCCTCGCGGATGATGTTGGTGAAGTCGACGTTGTTGACCTGTCAAAATGCCGTTCACAAGTCACTCATGGCCGTACTTAAAGGTCACAAAATGTTTATCTACACAGGAAGCAAATATTCTCAGTTTACCCAACTTAAAAAGATCACATCTGTAAGATGGAAACATTTACTCTGGAGAAAGAATATACTATAATTTAAAGCAAGCAGAAACCAAGTCAAGTGAGTGAAGGTGTAAGTTCATTTAAAGAGCAGTCACCATGCATCCTGATTTTAAAGACTACTCAGTGCAAAATCTAACCAATTTAGAGCAAAGACAACTTCTAATTTCAAATATCTATTATTACTGGAAAATCTCTGCCTTTAAAATTTTAAGTTATAAGTTCTGTAAATGTGCAAAGAGCCCTACTTTACTAGACTCTGCAAAAGCAATCAGAAGGAAATGAGATGGGGAAGAAACAGCGGATGTGCTGAGGCATCGCTGAGAACGTCTGCAGGACTGCTGAGGGCTCAGCGGCTGCCAGGCAACAGTGACTTGTATCAGCTGGTCCTAAGGACCAGCAGGGCCTCGTCCAGATGTCAGTGTGACTGTGCGCTGGGTGACAAAAAGACAGTAGTGTGCACTACTTGTACAATCCGAAACAGAAATACACTACTAAGAAATAGTGTTAAAAGGATGTATTCCCTAAGTTTAGAAGAGTCATTAAAGGAGGCAGGAAAAGAGCACCCGAGATCAGAGGAGGACAGAACGGCTGTGTGTGGAGCCCCGGGAAGGTGTTCCAGAAGGACAGCAAGAGCTCAGAGCACAGCGAGGGAAGTCAAGGGACTCGCAGGCTGAAGACAACACGAGGTCTCGGATGGCTTAGGAACGTCAGAGGTGCAGTGGTTACGGAGGAAGCCAGGCTACTCAACTCCATGACAGCACGGACCGAAAGGGAAGCAGGGAAGGGACTCAAGTTCAACAGCCGAAGGAGAGAAATGCAACAGAGGAGGGTTGAAGAGCAGGAGGGGGAAGAGAAGAACATGGCCCACGGGACTGTGGGTCGGAGACAGAGTCAGGACAAGGGAGGTGGGAGCCTACAGGCAGGGAGACGCCAGGACCGAGGGGCACTGACAGCTGGAGGGTGAGAAGTAGAGCCCGTGCAGAAACTCACACTGGGGAGATGTGATCTGCTGATTACAATGGCGCATGTAGCGGGAGTGTGGACATTTTAAAAGGAGAAGAGACAGGTAAAGATGTTCCCATGTTACTGGCCACACTGCTAGGGAAAAGCAGGCTGCACCAACAGGGCTGCCCTGGCTCCTGTGTGTGAGGTCAGAGCCAGGGCAGCTCCATGTCTGCCTGCAGGAAACCCCACCTCCCCGTGCTGAAGGTCCAGGGGCTGGGGGGACTGCGGCCACGCCCACACCCACGGAGAGCAGCACCCGATGCTGGCCGCTGCCGAGTTGTGGCTCACGGCAGAGCCTTGCTGCCGAACATGTAGCTGAACTAAAAAGGTGCCTATTACATGGATCCAGGACTTACTTTGTCTTGTAGGTTCTATGAACCAAGGATTAAAACGAGAACAGAGCGCCCACTGTGTAGCAACACACAGCCCAGCCCTCAACCAGAGCAAACGCAGGCACTGGAAGTGACAGGCCCGGCACAGCCGGGACCTCATGGATTCTTGGTCTGAATGTTTACGTGGCTCAAGAGACTGTGGCGTAGGTTATTCTCTGTGTCGTATGGTGGGTCTGCCAGGTTGGACGCCTCTTCCTAGAGCTCTACGTGCTTCAACCCCACATGCGTGAGCGCGCTGACGTACCCTGAGAATTTGATCGCCCTCTTCCAAGCCTTCTTTGGCTGCAGGGGCTATCTTCTAGAACGCCAGCGACAAATATTTCCGACATCGTTGCCACCAGCCAGCCGCAAACCCACGCTATCTCCTTTTCTGAATTTCACCAATTTTCATGCTGGCCTGTGGAAACAAATATCTCGTTTGAAACGGTGAAGAGAGGCTTGAGGAGTTACAGCAAACTGCTACCATGAAAACCATGTTCAGAATGAAATAAAAGGGCCATCGTGTCTGAAATGTCGCCCACAGCACTGCTGG